TGCCAGTTGGCGCTGGAGTTAAGTTATTATTAAAAATCTTATTTATGATCCACTTTGGCTAATATTCAAAATATGTATTGGTAATGGTACTTGGCAATACTACTGCCAAAAAGGGCTGCCAGGTGACGCTGGAGTCATCACGAATAATCGCCAAGTTAGAAAAAGTGCCGTGAATATCAGATTTAATCGATCTGCTGCACCACTGAGTATATCGAACTCTTTTGTGTTATGATTGGCCCAATGGATGTAATTTGCCAGTATTATTATGCGTTGAAGCTTCATTCGGAGACACCAGGGTTGAGTTGTGCAGGGGTAAATCTCAAATCACCACCGATAAATCAACCGCCAGGATCATTGCGCGCCTTTTACTGTAATACTTAATTTAAAATAATTGAATTTAATTTTTAATAAGGTGGCAACCCCTGTGAAAGACTTAAATATTATTCAAAACTTTCAAACTAAAGCTTTCTTAACAATATTTCGTTAGGCAACCATATTTTAATTATTCAGATAGCTTGCGTATAATTAATTTAAATTTTAATTTTCAAACAGGTGGCAACCCTTTTCAAAATTTATTCGAACTACAGCTTTTTTAAGCCTCTTGACACCCATTTTTTAATATAATTTTGAAATAAATAACTCCGTTAATTGAAGGTGAATTTGATTTTTTTAAAGGGTGGCAGCCCTCATCCTTGAGTAAATAATGACTTTATATATCTGCATACAAAGTTCCAGTAATTATCAAAAATATCTCCTGAGTAATGCAGTATGAAAAATTCCGTTTGTATGGGAGGTGCCACGCCCCCTTGTCTAGTCGAGATTAAATCTATCCTATATTTTAAGTTGGGCTAAATGACAGCAGTGTACAAAATTTCATGATGATCGGTTGAGTAGTTAAAGCGTGAAAGCGTAGCAAACAAACAAACTCACTTTCGGATTTATAATATTAGTAAGGATAAGGATTGTTTACAGCCCCAAATTTTTTAAAAAATTTTGAAAGATAACATATCGAATTTAAGTAAGTAGTTTCATCTTAGGGAATGTTAAAGTAATATTTAAAAAACGCATTTTCGAAAAAGCATCATATAGAAGAGCTGTAGACCACTCCAAAAATCAGTTTGTTTCAAATCAATCATTCCAATAATTACGAAAAATGTTTGCCTATGCCGGAACCGTTAGTAATCCAATCTGAAGTGCGGTTTGATTCAGTTCGTTTCAAATGATGCAATTGTGATCTCTTAGCATTCGATCTCTGGTCCGAGTAAAAGTGTTAGAAAGGCAATTCACTGAATGTTCTAAAAAAAAGTGTTGATGACGATGATATGCAAGGCAAGGATTCCAAAAACTCTATTATGAACCCTGACTTAAGGTCTTGGATTAGACTTTTTAGTCAACAAACCTTGGAGATTATATAGAGCCAAAAATAAAAAGAAACTTTTGGATAAGACAAAATGTATCAGAATGCGCTTATATGTATGTGTTACCACATTAAAAATAAATTGAAATATTAAATTATTTTAACTATATAGAATAATTATTTAGAATTTTAGTATTATTAAAAATCATTTATTGGAGTAGCACTAAAGTTTTATTTTATTTATTTATTTTTTTAAAAAACATCATTTGTGCCAACTAATTACTTTAACGCAACAGATAATTTTGTTGTATTTCGCGGCACTCAAATATTTTAAAAGCTAATCACTTTGCATACTCTTTGCTGTTGCTTCATTCACTCGATAAGTATTACTACATATTTTGCAATATGCTTTAGCGTAAAATTGTTCGCAAATTTACAAATTGCCATGTGTTTCCCCACTCGAATACGCTCCAGCCACTGACTTGGCCAATAAATATGCCTTACGTATGTATGTATATATGTATGTAGAGAGTGTCGAAAGTAACCACAGCAAGTAAAGTTCATATTATTGACACGGCAGAAACGCAAGAAAGTAAAATTTAAAGAGAGCTGAAATTAAACGAAACAAAATGGAATGAAGTGTCGAAATATTCTTCGAAGCATAACCAGAAAATAATGCAAATCAGCAGAAAAAAAAATGTGAAAGTCGACTAAATGTACGAATACATACATATGTACATATACACGCAAATATAATCTACCCATGTTTATACATACGTATATATGTAAATGCATTAAAATTTTGGCCTTACTCTTTAGCGAAATTTTCCTGTTTCAAAATAAGTACATTAGTGTGGATAACTCTCCATACAAAAATAAAATAAAAATCCGTACTGTCTTTCCAAAGTAATTAACATTTTTAATATTTTCAATGGAATGTCTGACAAAAAAGCTGCTCTTAAATTTAGAGTCGACTTTATTACGACTAAGAATTGGGGTTTTATAATACCGGGGTAAACTGGCGATTTTTTTTGGTGAGACATCCTAATGCACATATGTACATACATATTTTGGGATAGTTATTTCTCTTTTTGATTTTCTTTCGCAACTTGTTAAATATTTTTTTTTTTATATTAGCTCTTTGATATCGCGCATTATTATTTCGTTATCTTCACTTCATTTATTCTGTAAAATTTTTTGAGTATTTTATTGTAATTATTTTATAACTTGATAATGCTATTTGGCATCGGATATATTTCAAAAAATACAAATACAAAAGCGGTAAACTGACCAAAATAATACTTATAAATTAACAGCTAAGTGTGAAGATTTCAAGTTTAAATTGATTTGAATGCCCTACTTTATCATTCTTAGCCTCAAAAAAAAATAATTGGTTACAGAAAAAATTACAAAAATCGCTGAAAAAATGTGAAACAAACAAATCGGTACAACATTTGTGGTAATATATATAATTCATATATGAAGAATTAACCACTTAATTGAAAAAAGTGTGACGCAAAAATTAAGACTAAAAGCAAAAAATACTCCTCCAATTCGAACTTAAAAAAATAATTGTTTTTAAGAAAACAGAAATTGTGAAAAAATTTAACAAAAACCAGAACTATAGCATAAAAACGAAACAAGAATGGGTTTTTCATCGGCCCTACAGGGCCGTGCCGCGCACGAGGCATTAATCGTGCGCCAAGATGCCGAACTGCGCCTCATGGAGACCATGAAGCGGTCCATACAATTGAAAGCCAAGTGCGATCGGGAATATGCGATCGGTTTGGCTGCGGTTGCACAACAGGGTATGAAAATCGATCGCGCCGATGAAATGCAAGGTGAGTACGATGGGGTAATAATTTGTATAACTCCATACAAACATGTATAAATATACATATGTACATACATTTAAACATTGAAAATCCAATATCATAAAATTAAGTAAATAATTGGGTAAAATTAGAATAGTAATATTTACATTAGGGCTGGGCCATTATTCGATCATTTAAGCTAGGCGAAATACTACACATTGGAATAATTTCAACGTTATACGGTCCAGAAGCCAGTATCTACCCTTATTGGATTTTGCTACACCTCATCACAATTTTTTTTTTACAGTGGGTTCATGTTTATACTTTTTTATACGGGGACCTTTAGTAAAATTTAGAAATTGTTTCGTAAAATATTTTGGCCCCTTAAATCCATCAATAAAAGGCACCTCTGACACTTATTTTTGAGAAGCAGATGCAAGCTCATTATAAATTGTAGATAGAGGGTTAAAATGTTCTGCAAAAATATTAATCAGGAAATTTTACCACGGCTTTTCAAATATGATAAAAAATTGCGATTAAATCTGACTCCACTATAGGTATTCATTCTAATCGAATTTTTGTCTTCATATCGCACCCTAAATCGAAAACAGTCACAATTCAAAATTTTTCGAAATCAATGTTATCTTTTTTAAATATTTGCGAGCTAAAATCTCTTTGTTATTATTTTATAAGAATACGGATCATTCTTTAAACAAAATTCCACGAATTATAAACTTTTTAATCAGATTTTTTTTAAAAAGCTCCGTACTTCAAATTAAAAAAATCTGATTAAAAAGTTGAAAATTTGTTGAATTTTCCTTAATTTTGTGTAAGGCTTGAACCCTTGGTTTATATGATTTTGTTATAGAATGATACTCTTATAAAAATTAACAAGCAAATTTTAGCTTATAAAATATTGTGAATGTAGTAGACGCTCTAAAATTAGAACTCTCAGAAATTCGAATCCTCCAGAAATTAGAATTAGAGTAAAAAAAACGCCCAGAAATTAGAACACATATTTCAGAAATTAGAATTACCTTAGGAACAAAGTGTGTCTTATTTGCGAGCGTCTACTGTATTTAAAAAATAAATGGTGTAT